CCCCCCCCCCCCCCCAAAGTGAGAGAACATATTTCATGCTAATAAAGTACTGATGTTTTACACAGGCAAGAAAAATGTATCTGGGTGTCCACCAAATATTAATGAGGGCAATATGTATCTAAAAGTTGATTTTTAAAGCGGCTTCTGTGTAGCTGGACTACATCAGTCAAATTTGGGTGTCTTCTGAGGTCTACAAAAAGCCCACACCATTTGTAAAATACTGACCACACAGAAAAATGCATGACACACCACTGATACAAGTGATCATTGAGAAATAATAAAAAAATGTTCCACTTGTTGCACAGCGGTGAACACACAACCACACGCACATTTGTAATGAATACCACACATACCAATGTCATGATAGCAAAGATCAACTATCGATATACAGAACAAGAAATCCATTATACATTATAAAAATTTATAAGCCCTATTTCATATTAAAAGAAAAATTCTTTTGAAAACCTTAAATAAATTAATTAATCTGGTGAAAAGCATGGGCTCTAACATCCTGTATGTTTAATAAATAAACAACGGCAGGACTTTGTATGGTTTAGTTTTAAGATCAGGACGAGTGGAAGAGGAGTAACTTTAATGGTGAGTTGCATACAGAAATTTAATGCCATGCAACACATGTAAATCCTTTACCTTTTCATCAGTTTGTATATTGCAAGAACGGAGAAATTTATACTTGGTAGCTGATACAGAATGTGTGAAAAAAGGGAAACAGGTTACTGATGATCTGAAGATCATGTCAAAGAGAATATCACTGGCGGCTTAACTTCCTCTGAGGCGGATTAGATGGATGTTCCTCACTGCATTAGCATAAAAAGTAAACAAGAACGGGAACCTTAAACCACAAACTTCCCTTGCAGACAAGAATTTTCTTGTCAAATCATAAATACAGAATAAATAATTTAAATAGTTTATGACCCAAGAGGTCACATTTCTTATGCACAATTATTACATTCTGAAACAAGTAAAATAAACACTCCAAGGAAATAATTTTACTGTTTCACATGTATATATCAGCATTATTCACAAATGCGCTATCCCTAAACAAATTTCCATTGTTTTTACCACACACAACACAAGCTGAAAATAGCTGAACAATTCGCCAGAGACATAAAACCGGTTATATGAATCTACACGGTTATCGACAGTTATGCCCTAAAAGCTACAGTTTCTTGATATACCAAGACAATGAAATACTGGCTTCAGCACAATCATTACATTTCTCGAGTTTTGGACAGAGAAATGAACAAGCATGTGCAATGAACATCACCGATGACAATACACCGCCCTTCAGTCTATAAAACAATGATACAATGGATACAATACAATAACATGATGCAGGAAGTAATACTTCCATGAATGTTACGCCTAATAATGCTCTCTGAAAATTTTTTACAATGTCTCTTTTCCTCTACTGAAGAAGAGATTTGCAATGACTAAAAATCATTACTAAAGAGGAACAATACATTTATGACACAACTCACCTAAGTTTATTTTTGAGGTTAGTGAGCTCTCGTGACATGGTCTCATTTGACTCCACCATATCCTCCATTTCCCTCTGCGCTTTCCGTTTTTGCGCCTTCTCACGGCTTATTTCTTCTTCTGCCTCATCCAGCTGTCGCTTGAGGGCTTTCACTCTGACGTTCACCTATAGTCAAAGGAAGAAATACGTTTAATGCTCGTTTGCAAGTTATCTATGACCATCCCTACTTCATTCTTTGGCATGTTAAATACATAAAGAAATCTCCATGTGGGGCTATGGTGGTAGTAAACAGAATATTTGTTAATGGGAATATTTATACCTACAAGAATATCATATGCAAGCAATTTAATTATTTCAACAAAGTCTGCATTAAGTAAAAATCAGGGTGAAAAACAGGCACAAATAAATGAATATAATTATGGTAAAATGTCCGGTTACATTAATATTCCATCATGTATTAAATAAATGCATAAAGTATTACATCATGTGAAATATCAGTAAATGAGAGTTGAAATGCGTACCTTCTCCACCTGTTCCTTGTATTGGTCGGCATGCCTTCGCTCGTCTTCCAGCTGCATTACCAGCTCCTTCAGCTTCTTGTCTTGCTTGCGGTTTATCTTTTGCTGGGCAAATCGCTCCCTAAAACAATATATATATGTCAATTACCATTAAAAAAAAGTAAAACAAGATTGAAAAACCAATTCCTTTGTAAATACAACAAATATTTTGCAAAGGGAAAACTGCATAACGAGGAGCTTCACAGTATGTAGTCTTCACAAAACTGCTGAGAATAAGACAAACTGGATATGCATGTATGGAGATGGAACAGACCACTTAAAAAAGTCCTAGGGTAGGTGGAAGAATACTATTAACATGGATTTCAAACTTTTCAAGTACTTTGATCCATGGAATTAACTGCCTGCATTCTATATAGCAACATTACATTTAACACACAGAGAAAAAAATTATGTAATAATCAAAAGACTTAAAATATTTAATACAGAACAGAATTTCAGAATCTGAGAGCTGTTCCACTGGTCAGAAAATTATTAGGGAACGAGACATTAAATACTACTATATTTTCTTGGAATGTGAAAAAAGAGAGAGAGGAAAACAAACTTTGCTTCTGCTTCTAGCTGTTCTTCTAGATTGTTGATCTTGCTTTCGAGTGTGGCAATGGTGGCCTTTGTCTTTGTCCTCTGGGCTGTCTCCAATTCCACCAACTTGGCTTTGAGTTCCTTGTTCTGCCTTTCTAACAGCATTCTCCCCGTCTCCAGTTTCTGCGTTGCTGATCGTTCTGCTGCCAAATCTGCAAATTATCCAGTAACATGATAACATAAATGAACACTTATGTAACCAAACCCCTGCTCACAGCATAGCAAGAGAACAGGCAATCCCAATGTGAGCATCAGCCAGAGAACAACGCTGGAACCAGGGATTTGGGATTAGCTCTTTCTATCAGACTCAACAGAATAAGCATTTTCACCTGAAGATAGCAGAGCCAACTTCTGAAATGTAGTGGCTTCATTTTTGTAAGACTTAATGATGAATCTAGTCCAGAGAATACTAAATTAACGCACTGTTTTTAGAAATCTTTACACTTAAATCTGAACCCTTGATGAATGGAACTGTTCTGTCCAAAACAGTGACAGGGTTAAAGGACATGCAGTCTAAGAATTGCTGACCTGTTGTAAGTTGCTCAATAGAAATCTGTGCCTTGCGTGCTCGATCCATGAGGATTTCCGAGTTGCTCTGCTCCTCCTCTAACTCTTCCTCCAAAGTCGCAATGCGAGCCTCAAGGCGTCTCTTCTCGTCAAGCAGAAGCGTGCTACAATAAATTAACATAACTCACAGTAATAATTAGTCTTAGCTTAAGTCTAACACAAACACTTCACTCTCATACATATTTCCCAATTCTGGTCCAAAAAATCATATATACATATACACACACACAAACGTGTGTGCATGCGTACACAAACACATATATACAGGCTGTTCCACGATGTGAAGTCAATATTTGACCTACATTCAGGAGAGGTCATTACAAGTAAAAATAATCAAGAGTAATTATTTTGCCTATTTTTAATACTAAAGTAATCAAACCAATTAAGGATTATCTACAACACCTGAGTCAGAAATGGCTGCTGTCTGGAAACTGCCCCCCTAACTCCAACAGGGAAAATAATCCATCTGATATATTTTTCTTTGCAGTCTTATAGAAATTTAAGAAGGGGTTATCTTATATTTCATTTCATTTTCAATACAGCAAATATGTGTGTAATTTGGAACAAAGACTAAGTTCCTGAATTGAATCATGGCATGCTTAGTTAGATCTTAATTTCAACTTTTTCTAAGTACATGAATGTGTCACATCCTCAGTACCTATCAGCAGTTGTTGCACCATCATTTTGTCTTATTCTGTTCACAAGACACCATCACGTACATAATTTTTGTGTTCAAAATGCCTCATACTCAGAATATATGTTGTAACAACATTGCTTTGAACAAGAAAACTGACACCAAGTATTCCTTCTACGGACAGAAGATTTTGTTACTTATTTCAGAATGGCATTCTGGAACAGGGTAGGTGGTATTAATATAAACCAAAACATCAGACTTGTATTACTGCACTCCAAGCTGTTCAACGGATAACCTATGGTACAGCAACAGGGATTAGATTTACTGCCAAAATATGAATAGCACAATCTTGTTAGTCATATAACTGGTTATTATAAAGGGTATTTAATTTCCATGCTTGACGACAGGACTTTTCTCAACTTACGCTGCTTGTGCAGGGCTGTTAGCCATTATAACACTTATTCTGCGCCTGCAACGGAATATATGCTGACATTTATGTAATGGAAGAACATTACTAATACCACTTTACGTAAAATTTCTTAAACATGACCTCATCTAATAAATAAAAACTGGATATAAGTTCTCCATTCACTGCATTAAATGTGACACTGGATGCAAGAATAAACAGCTGGAATGGCCTTTTATCTGACTACTACTACTGCTACTTAAAAAAAAGTATCACTAACCACCCTTCTCTGTATGGAACATAAATCACTCAAACAACCATTTCCACCATGGTCATAAATTAATTATTTCAGCAGTCATAAATGTTACGGCTTCACTGACTTATAAAACAATTTTACAGGACTTTTATCCAAGACCATTTTGTAATACAGCATTACAAGACATTTAAACAGTCAATCAGAGCATATTTTATAAAAGAAATTAAAATCATAATAGCGTCAGACTGCCTAACATACAAAATGGTATAAAGAACATTATTTTTGGAGATACAATGCACTGAAAAAGAAAGTTTCAAATCGTAAAATGAATATAACTGGTAACACTGATACAGATATCAACTCAGAACACTTGTGAATATGAACATTCTCATCCTGCACTCAACTTACCCCTTACTGGAATTGCTGCTGATTTCCTCTTGTAATTCATCTCGTTCACTCTCTGCCACTCGTCTAGCTCTCTCAGCACTGGCTAAGTCTTCACTCATTTGTGCCAGCTCTGCTTCCAAGCTCTTGAGTTTTCTCTCTGTCTCTTTTGCTGCCGCAGCCAGTTCATCTCTTGATGCTCTCGCTTCCTCTGCATCTCGAGCAGAATCCTTGGCTTGTGCCTAGAAATAAAAAGTGTGAACTTATCTTAAATCTTTAATAAATATGAAATGCTAATCCATGCACTGACCCTAGTAGCATGATGTGAGATTTGATGTTCTCATGGATTGAAATTGTATATGTTGTATTCCTGGGTTATAAAACAATGTGGACTTGTGGGTGTACAGCATCACAGCCCAGAAGAACATTTACAAGTAGTGTGATACAACGCTAGAGAAGACGGACTCCTCAAACACACTTTAATTCCATGGAAGACAATCATTACTGACCTAAATACTCTCTCTCAATACGAATGCAAACTAGTACACACGTGGGGTCCCACAGAGAAAATCCCGAGATGGAGATACTTCATCCAGTCATTTCTGAATGCCGATACACACGTACATCTTCATGCAAAGTGCTCATTCCAGCGGTCCAATTTCAATCAAAACTGGAAGGTGTTGACAGTTTTGCAACACACCTTACATAAAATTTCACAGAAGTCTATCCACCCATTCTCAAGTTGTTATTTATGTACAGAGGCACAGATAGACACAGAAATTACATACAAACACTATTAATTACCAACCTGCAGTTTCTTGAGCTGCTTAAGTGCATCTTCTTTAACCTTATCATGCATCTCAAGTTGCTGTTCCATGTCCTTGAGGTCAGCCTCGAGTTTCTTCCGCTGGGAAAGAGCATTGGCTCGTTGTTTCCGTTCATCCTCCAACTCAGCTTCTAAGTCTCGCAGCTGCTTCAGTAGGCCACGCCTCTTTTCCTCAGCCTGTTCCTCTTTTGCCTGAAGCATTCACACATCAAATCAGTTTATCTTTCTGAACGCCCTACAGCCACAGCCCCTCCCGCCTCCACTCATATAAAACTCGATAATTAGATAGTTCTCTAACTTCCAATATTAAGCAATGTGACACTGCAAATTTCCAGTCACCTTTTTTACTTTTGGTCAGGTATTAACTTCCATTTTGACAAATCTGAAACAACATTTGTGGTTTACTTCGAGCTCTCCTACAACCCAAGTGATCTGAGATGACCATGACAATCTCATCATCAATTCTCAGTTGCTTAACTCGTCTTGTACTGTACACCTTTCAACCACAGACAGATTTCTTGTTCTGCTCTAACATGTACACCATGCCAAGTCCCTTGGATTCTACAATGGACTGAGGGTTCTGTACCGACTGGGATGGTGTGGGTCGTAGGGGAAGCTAGTCGTCCTGTGTGGTCATGCATCCGGAAGGTGTGTGATTTGTCTAAATTGTTTAGCTGCTGATTTGGAAATATTATCTTTGGATTTATGCCTAACCTGCTTCCCTCCACATATTTCTTTACAATATTTTTTAAACTATACTTAATTTCTTTTTGTATCATTACGCCACGGTCTGTAATTAGATATTTCATACTGAACTGCACTATCTAAACTATTTAATTTGTTACTAAAACGTGCAAGAGCAGTGTATTACCACAGTCAGCATGACCCATGGAAGTTCCACTGAGGGAAGGGCTAAATAAATACAGACTCTAAGCTGATATTTATGAATGCAGTAGACTAGTTGTGTCACCTGAAGATCTCGCTCAAACTGGGTGCGCAGTGCCTGCATGTTTACTTCCAGTCTCAACTTGGCATCCTCAGTAAACTGCAGCTCATCTTCCAATTCCTCGTTCTGAGCCTTCTGTTCTGCAAGCTGACTTTCTAGAGCTCGCTTTGCCTTTTCCAGCTCATGAACCTATCGTAAAAGACAAGAAGACAACATTCAGCACCCTTCCTTTATAAGTATCTCGGTAAAATTGTTATTCTCACCAAAAGATTATACCAGGCACAGAAAAGTTTACAGCAATACCAACACGAAACTAAACTGCAGAAAAATGCATGCATAAAATAATGGTTGCAGAGTTTCCAGTTATTCCTGCCATAAAAAGACAGTTTACATTCTTATTATAGCCAGAAAATACTAGTGTCTGCCAAGGACGTAAGGTTTTTAAATGAAATTTTCTATAAAGCAGTCTCAATAAAAAATTAACATAATTAACAACAACAAACAAGGCAAAACTTATGGGGTAATATATACAGAAGTCAGAATGCAGCACAAAAATTCATTATTATCTGACTATCTCTAATCTTCAAACACAAAAACATTTTAAATGTGAAAGTAAATAATAAAATGCCAGAACTTAACCGTCAGTCAAGGAACATAAATTATTATATTTTCTACATTGCTCTCGCTTCCTCTGCATCTCGAGCAGAATCCTTGGCTTGTGCCTAGAAATAAAAAGTGTGAACTTATCTTAAATCTTTAATAAATATGAAATGCTAATCCATGCACTGACCCTAGTAGCATGATGTGAGATTTGATGTTCTCATGGATTGAAATTGTATATGTTGTATTCCTGGGTTATAAAACAATGTGGACTTGTGGGTGTACAGCATCACAGCCCAGAAGAACATTTACAAGTAGTGTGATACAACGCTAGAGAAGACGGACTCCTCAAACACACTTTAATTCCATGGAAGACAATCATTACTGACCTAAATACTCTCTCTCAATACGAATGCAAACTAGTACACACGTGGGGTCCCACAGAGAAAATCCCGAGATGGAGATACTTCATCCAGTCATTTCTGAATGCCGATACACACGTACATCTTCATGCAAAGTGCTCATTCCAGCGGTCCAATTTCAATCAAAACTGGAAGGTGTTGACAGTTTTGCAACACACCTTACATAAAATTTCACAGAAGTCTATCCACCCATTCTCAAGTTGTTATTTATGTACAGAGGCACAGATAGACACAGAAATTACATACAAACACTATTAATTACCAACCTGCAGTTTCTTGAGCTGCTTAAGTGCATCTTCTTTAACCTTATCATGCATCTCAAGTTGCTGTTCCATGTCCTTGAGGTCAGCCTCGAGTTTCTTCCGCTGGGAAAGAGCATTGGCTCGTTGTTTCCGTTCATCCTCCAACTCAGCTTCTAAGTCTCGCAGCTGCTTCAGTAGGCCACGCCTCTTTTCCTCAGCCTGTTCCTCTTTTGCCTGAAGCATTCACACATCAAATCAGTTTATCTTTCTGAACGCCCTACAGCCACAGCCCCTCCCGCCTCCACTCATATAAAACTCGATAATTAGATAGTTCTCTAACTTCCAATATTAAGCAATGTGACACTGCAAATTTCCAGTCACCTTTTTTACTTTTGGTCAGGTATTAACTTCCATTTTGACAAATCTGAAACAACATTTGTGGTTTACTTCGAGCTCTCCTACAACCCAAGTGATCTGAGATGACCATGACAATCTCATCATCAATTCTCAGTTGCTTAACTCGTCTTGTACTGTACACCTTTCAACCACAGACAGATTTCTTGTTCTGCTCTAACATGTACACCATGCCAAGTCCCTTGGATTCTACAATGGACTGAGGGTTCTGTACCGACTGGGATGGTGTGGGTCGTAGGGGAAGCTAGTCGTCCTGTGTGGTCATGCATCCGGAAGGTGTGTGATTTGTCTAAATTGTTTAGCTGCTGATTTGGAAATATTATCTTTGGATTTATGCCTAACCTGCTTCCCTCCACATATTTCTTTACAATATTTTTTAAACTATACTTAATTTCTTTTTGTATCATTACGCCACGGTCTGTAATTAGATATTTCATACTGAACTGCACTATCTAAACTATTTAATTTGTTACTAAAACGTGCAAGAGCAGTGTATTACCACAGTCAGCATGACCCATGGAAGTTCCACTGAGGGAAGGGCTAAATAAATACAGACTCTAAGCTGATATTTATGAATGCAGTAGACTAGTTGTGTCACCTGAAGATCTCGCTCAAACTGGGTGCGCAGTGCCTGCATGTTTACTTCCAGTCTCAACTTGGCATCCTCAGTAAACTGCAGCTCATCTTCCAATTCCTCGTTCTGAGCCTTCTGTTCTGCAAGCTGACTTTCTAGAGCTCGCTTTGCCTTTTCCAGCTCATGAACCTATCGTAAAAGACAAGAAGACAACATTCAGCACCCTTCCTTTATAAGTATCTCGGTAAAATTGTTATTCTCACCAAAAGATTATACCAGGCACAGAAAAGTTTACAGCAATACCAACACGAAACTAAACTGCAGAAAAATGCATGCATAAAATAATGGTTGCAGAGTTTCCAGTTATTCCTGCCATAAAAAGACAGTTTACATTCTTATTATAGCCAGAAAATACTAGTGTCTGCCAAGGACGTAAGGTTTTTAAATGAAATTTTCTATAAAGCAGTCTCAATAAAAAATTAACATAATTAACAACAACAAACAAGGCAAAACTTATGGGGTAATATATACAGAAGTCAGAATGCAGCACAAAAATTCATTATTATCTGACTATCTCTAATCTTCAAACACAAAAACATTTTAAATGTGAAAGTAAATAATAAAATGCCAGAACTTAACCGTCAGTCAAGGAACATAAATTATTATATTTTCTACATCTATATAAACTCCTGCCTAGAAAATAAAATAAGAAAAATATTTTACACACTTTGCACAGAAATAAGCTAATTCATATTTGAAAAGTAACAGCAATGGTATATGAACCCAATTCATGTAAAGAATCATCAGCGTCCAAAAAGATACCCATGCGCTTAACTTGTGTCTAGAATGTTGCTTATTAATTAACTAGGCTAATTTAAATCATAAAAGATACTATCCTTCTTCAGTGCCACTGTTGCATCATAACAAAACATGCCAGAGATGTGAATAAGAGTAATATCTTACCTCTGCCTGAGGGGTGTGGTGCATAACAGAAGAAATAAACAAGTGTTAAGATGCATGCACTGCTGCACTAACACCAACAGTTAAAACTCTATAAAGCTAAGCAATAAACAAACAGACTAGGAATTTAAACTATAGCTGAGCCTTCTAAAACACCGTGTCTGTGCAAATGTGTGTACAATTGGTTAAATGTTGCAGACAGTGTGGAAGATATGCAATAACCATCATTAACTGTGAGCTGGTATACAGTGAAAATAACTCAAGTAAGAAAACTCATACACTCTCAAATAAACATTCATTTATGACCACAATATTATTTCCAGCATACTTAGAGACCACAACAAAACACCAAGTTTGAAATCACGTGGTTGTGAAGTTGAAGGTGAACTTGTATACAAAAAAAATTGTCAAGAAATATACTTGATTAAGACTTTCTACCTGAAATAACTTTCATTGTTTTAATGATATGAAGAAAAAAGTAATCCCTGACTGAGCAGTGTGGTGTCTGCAACGTAATAGCTTGGAAATAACAGAAATAATTTCAAAGTCAATGCAGCAAAGAACGTACTAAGAAAATATGGGCTACATACTCCAGAGGAGAAAGCCTTTCCACTAATTTTTCATCTTGAAATTCCATAATGAAAATGATAAGATTACAGAACTTATTCCCGCAGAACACTGTATGATAACACTGCACGCTATATGTTACACATCTTACAAAGAGATTCCCTGAAATAAAAGGAAGTGTTCCATCATGTTACACTGCTTCAGTTTTCCAACAGATATATATTTTTTTTATGAATAAACCCAATGTATCTTTCCAGTGGGTCTGACTGAAAGAAAGATATCTCAGCTTCATTTACCATGGTCGCCAACCAGCTGGAGTATGGGGAGGGAGAGTAAGACTGCCAAACGATAGCACATACATCATCTAGCCCTCCTTGTCCCTTCCATCTTCCCCTCTTACTGTGATGCAGCTCAGGCTCAAAGATACTGAGTCCAGTACACAAAGAAACATACTCACATTCTTATCAGCAGTGCCCTGGTTGTTAACCAGTTCATCTAATTCAGCCTGCAGCTGGCGACGCCCTCGCTCCAGTTCTTCAACCTTGTCGTTCATTTCATCAATTTCTCTCGTCAGAGAAAGAACTCTCGTCTCTTTTTCTCGTGCTTCCCTCTCTGCTGCATCACGCTCTTGTGCAATCTGTTCTGCCACAGCCTGTTTACAAAGTACTGTATTATGTACACTTTCTCTATTACAGAATGGAAGACACTTGGCAACCAATTACATTCACATTCTACTCACTCTTACAAACCACAACAGAAACTCATTTGACCAACCCATGAGGGCAGACTCTGCACAGTACTTGTATCTACTAAGCCCAATATCAAACTATAGTGGACCAAAGACAAACAGGACCACATTCTTTACTATTCAAGTATGTTGCCATGTGATCACTTCCTTAAGCTTCTAAAATATTTACATTTTGTGAACAATCAGATTCCACCAATACAAGACAAGGGAGATCCCAATTATGGCAGGTAATATAAAATCAAAAAAATATTTTAAATTCAAAACATTCAGAACTGTACCACTGAAAAGAACATACAGCATTGGAAGTAGTAGTCATAAAATTTGAAACAAAGGTCATCTTTTGCTGATACATTCTGAAAAACAGGTAAGATTTGGAATAAAAATGTCACTCTGTGACAGATTTAGATATCTATTTAATGTAAATGTGTACCTTGAAACAGAGAGAAACCTAAATAGCACAGATGTTACACACACATCAGTATACAGAAGGTTGAATGAAACAGAGACAAAATTCTTATGGACAAGTACTTCACATCTGGATCTTCAAAGATGTTTAAATACTCCTTATAAAGCTGCTATGGATACTTACCACATTTACTGCAATGCATGAAAGAGTTTACAACATACCCCTAACAGGGTATTCTAATTAAATTAATTCATATTATAACAATTTTATTTACTGACACGTCTTTCTTTCATAACAGATTCCGAATTAAAAATAAGATATTCTGTTTAGTTCCACAGGTCTTACCTTCTCCTCAGCCAAAACCTTATCAAAGTTGCGTTGCTTCTTCTCCAGTTCAAGGACCTTGGCTCGCTGAGCTTCTAGATCAATATTAGAATCTTCCAGTTCAGCTTGCAACTTCTTCTTAGATTTATCAAGTTTATCATTGGCTGCCTGTAACTCTTCAACCTGGCGCTGCAGTGCTTCAATGTCCTGCACCAAATGTTCACTAGGTCAGATCATCTCTAATCACAATTCTGATAGAGTAAAACTAGATACCCTGATCTCATACAATCCCCTTTCAGCAGTACTGAAGGCTGGAGACAGTGACACACTTCAGCACAATTAAAATTGAATTATTTTCTCCACAGTATTAATATATTAAACAGTAAAAATATAAGGCATATAGCCTAAAATTTATACCCAAAATCAAAAACTTTACCTTGAATAAACCTGCTTTCAGCTGTCATGACCATAATTTATAACCATCTTTAGTGCAAAGCAGTTCTTCACAGCTGTCAATGAATGACATGTTACTGAATACTATTTGATATTGTTACTCAATGATGTGATTTTAGTAAGGTAAGGTACTATGTTTTTGACCAGATCTCTATATTCCACCCTGTGTAACTACTAGAAGTTGGACCGCAACCAGCAAGCCAGAGTTTGCGTCAGTATAAGAACTGAACTGCCAAAACACAATCTAGCCTACTAAGGTAAGAAATGCCACACTTACTTTTGCCAACTTCTTTTTAATCTCTTCAAGTTGGTTAACCTGCTCAGCTTCCTCCTCAATGCGTTTCTTGGCATCAGCGAGGTTTTGCGACATGGCAAAAATTTGTTTTTCCAAGTTCTTCTTCGCTTCTTCTTCTTCCTCTACTTGTTCTTGAAGGGCTTCTTTCTCACTCTCAATTTGTCGTAATCTCGAGCTCAGAGCAAGCTTCTGTCTAGTCTCTTCTTCGAGCTGAGCCTATTCACAAGAGAGTTACATTCACACTTCACATGTCAATCAAAGTTCTTCGAGCTGAGCCTATTCACAAGAGTTACATTCACATTTCACAAGTCAATCAAAACCATAACATCAGATCATACAACAGTAAACCACTCCACAAGACACATTTTTTTGGATATATTTATATATATTTGTTTGCAGGACAAGTTCACAATTAAAATGAGCAACATAAAATTCAGATTTTAATGTGTTAAAGAAAACTGACCTCACTCAAACAAGCATCTACTACATAAGAGCTTCCGATTACCTGAGCCTCGGACAGTTGGCTCTCCATTGTAGCCGCACTTTTGGTAGCTGCAGATGTCCTAAGTTCTGCCTGCTCTAACTGTGCCGTGATAGCTTCAGATTCTTGTTGAAGCTTAGTGAATCGGTCAGAGAGGTCTGTACGCGAACGTTCAAATTCCACAACCTTGCTCTGCAACTCTACCAGCTGACTCTCAGCCTGCTTACGACGACGTTCACATTCCTGGCGATTTGCACCGACTGACCTCAATTCTGTTGTTAGGTCAGCATTTTCAGCTTCCAGTTGTGATTTGACCTTCTCCAAACCAAGCTTGGCCTGCAAATACATAACAAAATGGTTGTCTGATTAGACAACATGTAACAACATCCTTTACATTAAATATATCATATTAAAGTCAAAATGCTAAATGGTAAATGTATGGCAAAAGGTTTTACAAGCAGTTAAATAGATGTTAGAAATTTTACTTTAAAATGTGACATCTCATTTCATGGCAAATATTCTCTCCGCACACACAAGTTACATTTGGCAAAGACCTATACAAGTTTCTGACGCAGAAAATTATTACACATGACAACGAGAAATACCATGATTTCAGTTTTTTCAGTCTGCTGAAGACAACCCTCTGAGAAATGCTACAAGCAGTGGTAATAAAAAAAACCCTTTACAGCAATGCCACACAATCCATCTTACCTTCTTAATAGACTCCATCTGTTCATTGATGAGGGCCAAATCCTGGCTGTACTTGTGCCTCATTTCTGCTATAGATGTCTCATGTGTTGCAGCATCTTCTTCAAGACTCTTCTTCAGGGTGGCTAGTTCCTGAAAATATAACAACACCCATTAAAAATATCTTGTCTAAGGACCCTGAAGCACTTTATCCTTCAAGCAATTCCTTCCACTTAAATCTTAAACTTAAGAATTGTATTTATTTAACAAAGCTACCAGTAGCTCGGACTACGCAGCATCAAATGATAGGATGATTAATGAACTGCAAAAGATATGAAAGTGATTAATCATCACCAAATTTAAGGTAGTATCGCAGCGTGAGCAACAAAGGGAAAAATGTGAAAACCTGTTTCCATAACGTTCACACTAAATTTAACGCTCAGCTGAAAAATGGGATGGGGAAACAAACAAGAACATGTTCACAATGCATTCTTCATTTAAGCTCAAGGCTAAAAGGGAATTTCCATCTGTAACACTCTTGTGTGCAACAGACATGGTCTACTCTTCCAAATAGTGTTTGTACCTGTTCCCGTTTGGTACGCAGCTCCTGCTGTGCCGCCGTTGTGTCCAGGGAATCCAGAAGTTCATTTTTTAGTGCCTCCAGTTCTTCATTTAAGTCCCGCTTTTGTTTCTCTGCCTTGCTGCGAGCTATTTTCTCAGCTTCTAAATCTTCTTGAATCTGTACACAAGACAGCAAAATGTAATGACTATGGAGTAATAACCACCCATTTTCCATACTCATGTTACTGAAGAACAAATTCAAAATAAAAAGTGCTGAAGAAATCACTCAAGGTATCACAAACCAGGATTTCCTAAAACAATGCATTCATAAAGGGCTCTGTTCCATGTAAAAAGGTACTTATTAGAATAAGAACAGAAATGCACTAAATATCTGTATGTACAAAAATCTTCTTTGTATCACTGGATTAAATTTAAAAATGTAACGTATGTACAACTGAAAACCTGCTCACCTCAGTCAACTGGGACTCAAGTTCGCGAAGAGCTTTCTGTGACTGAGCCTTGCCAGCACCTTCCTCATCTATCTTCATGAGGGCTTGTGTAAGCTCTTCTTCACGCTTTCCAAGTTGAAGCTGCAGTTCCTCAACTTGGAGACGACGCTCGTTCAACTGCTCTTTGAGGTCACTGACTTCAGTTTCCACTTTTCGCTTACTGCGGTCCATCTCTTGTCTCTGTTGCTGATCCCGCAGCAGCCTCTCCTCTAGGTCGGCAATTGTCGCTTCATGCTTGGTCTTCAACTTCGCTAGATGTTTTGCTTTCTCTTCTTCTTCAGCGAGGGTCTGTGACAAGTCCGCTGAACGCTCCTCGAGCAGTTTCTTCTCTTTCAGAAGCTACAGTAACAAAAATAATTATCACTTCAGTCATCTTCCTCTTAAATGTACTACGATGTTAACAGAGAATTAAATATGTACTGGCATCTTATACCAGTATTTCTGCAGGACCTCATACTTAAATCATTCCAAACCAGGAAATAAAGGATTGATTAATTAAAAGAAACAATGAAGTAAATAAAGAATTTAAATATACTGACAATATATTAATGTAATTCCAATATCTCATTCTTTTGGCTGGAAAACTCCACGGACATGTTAATAAATTATAACTTCAGAAAACAAGACGATATGTGTCTTGCGTTATAATAAACTGCTCCTGATGTGGTTGAATGTTTGAATTATTCAGAACAGGGAAAGAAAGAAAGTGAGGAAACTCAGTGAAAAATGGAGAAATGATTCAGAGGGATACAAAGGGGGAGGGGGCGACACTACCATTTCAAGATGAGACTGAGTCAACCCATCTGGCTGATAATGCATGAACTTTTAGAATATGAAGTTGGTAATTTTGAAAAAGGTTCAACGCTGGATACTGTAAAACAATTTATTACATACGCAATAAAACTCTTCTAAGTAAACAGAATTTAAGCCCAGGGATTTCCAAAAGGTGCGAGGGGAAAACGAACTTTCAATTCTCATGTAGAAATCTTATAGTTGAACTTTGTCAACAAGGAGTTAATGTACGTTGAGTGATGACTGGGAAATAATGTCCACATATGTCTACCTTCTGGTTTGTATCTTCACTGAGTGCGTAATCTTCCTCCAGTTTCTTGATCTTGGCATCACACTGCACCTTCTCCAGCTGAAGTTTCTGTCTTGCTGCTTCCTCCTCTTCTAGCTGCTCTTCCAGGTCCTGTACACATATTTATAACTTAAAGAAATATAAAGCTACAAGCTGATGCTATTTTAGAACAAAATTACGTGTGTTTCTAGTAACTTTACTCACATCCAGGCCACACAAAGTTCAAGAAAGTAATAAATTAAAAAAATGGACACTGAATTATCTTTTAAGGTACATAAAAACCCCCATTAAATTTACACCATAAAAATGGAAGTTTATGGTTGTATCACAAATATACTGAACACCTTCCCCCTTGACTTGAGCTCTTCTGCTGATCACAGGCCCACATAATTCCCCCGGAAAGGACTCCCCCCTTAAATTTCACAAAATCATCACTACAAATCCAAAGTCAAATAAAAACAAAAGTCATAAGACGCACAATGACCTGAGTCAAATAATTAGTCTCAAATAAATTTACTTTTTTTGCATCCTAAGCCAATGCCAGTGTTTCAGAAAGCCCAACATGTCAAAAATCTGACACTGTAAAACGTTAAGCACCTTGAAACGCAGAAGCTATAAAAAGTCTACATTTTGTTTATGCCCTAAAAATGTCAAATGATATCCTCAGTAACTAATCCACTAAATTACCACAAATAAGTTTCAGACCAGATAGCAATTCTGTACTTAAATTTCTTACTACACATTGTGTGTTCAGCAAAAATGTTGTCACCTGCAATGTCAAAGTACTGGATTGATCACTGTGAAGCAATATTATCTCTCCTTATTGTACATCCAACCCTGGAGGATGCTATTACGACACCTACAAAATTCTACTGTTTCTCGAGAGAGAGAGAGAAAAAAAAATCATAAAATAGGCTACCCTCGGAGTATTACCTGTATATTGAGCTGCAATTTCTTTTTCTCTGCAGTTAAAGTGTTGGATCGCTCCTCCTCTTCTTCAATACGAGCTTCCAGATCATGTAAGATCTCCTCCAATTCCTGCTTACGGGCCGCCAGCCTTGCTCGCATCTCCTCGGCTTCTGCACAGAGTTCCACTTCAGCCTGAAGTTGCTCCTGTAGAGTTATCTTCTCCTCAACAGCCTACGATGGGGGAAAGAAATACCAACTGCTCAACAATGAAATTAACCATGTTCATAGCATGAATATAAACAAGCCTGATTCACATAAGACAATCTTAGATAATATGGATCACTAAATTCGCTTTTATATGAATAATTATGAAATCTCAAAGTGATCATCGACACAAGTCTGTAATTGTAATACAAGATGACGATGAAAGACTCTTGGGTTACATTACGTTGGCAGAAGATATGGTTCATTCACCATTCAGCCACCTGACAAGCTTGCAATCTGAGAGTCTTTCATCAACTTCGGTATCCGCGAAAGCTTCACTTAACACAAACATAACTGAAAGGAAATATACAAAAATCGGGTAAACATTATGGCCAATACACCTAATTCACAGAATTCCATATAAAAAACAGTGATTAAAAGTAATTTAAAAATAAAATGGAAGGAAAGAATTCTACGATGTCTAAAATTATCTACAGTCATAAAGTGTGAGAATGTGGAACCTACAAAAATTGGAAAACTCCAAGATACAGAACTTTTAAACCTGAGAATTGTTCTCACCTGCTGCAATTTCCTCTCGTGCTCCTGAGATGACCGCACCTGGGTGTCAAGTTTCTCTTTCACTTGTTTCAACTCGTCCTCTTTCTGTGTCAGTTTCTCCTCCTGTTTAGTCACCTCTAGCAGAGGCTTCACCTTAGTGTAAAGTCGCCACCACTGCCAGTTACGCAGTTTCAGATACGCTGCACAGTTGCGCTGAATGATGCGAATTGCATTCAACTGCTGCGTGCGTTTGTGGAAGTTTCTAGCGAACAACAAGGGATGTGAAATGTAGGCATTAAGGCATCAAGAGAAGCAAACAGCCCGAATGCAAAACAGTGAAACTCCATACATTCTTGCTTCAGAATATTAGTGTCATGTTCTGTGGTATAACTTAAGTTACAAAATTTCCTGAACACCTGGAAAATTTCTAAGTGTATCTCCTTTTTCATACAGGTTAGAGAGCTGCGTACAGTTTGACACTCCAACACATAAAACAGACAATAGAAGTGATACACTGAAATGCATTTAAAAACAACAAAACCTCTAAATGAATAAATTACAAAGGAAACTGATGTTTCTGCAGTGGCCAAACTTAAAATCCCTGGCATTTCACACAGGCAGAAGGAATGACATCATGCGGTCATAATTTGATACCCACACACAGGAATTAAGTTCCACAGGAACTGAATGATTTTAATTAGCGAATAAAAATCTAAAAATACAAGAACAGTTTCATAGTGTCAAAACTCATCTTTAAAAACTCAAAAAGAAAATTAAACTGAACTGAAAAAACTGTCCTTACCTCCTGGCCAAGAATCCACGGCAAAATGCTTGAAAATTGACAATAAGATCAGTGATCTTATAATCTCGCTCCTCTTCCAAATGTGCCAGCACACCAGCACGGAAAAAGATCTTGGACTGACCAACTCGATACAGATTAGGATCCAGCTCCAAAGCATGAATCTGCATAAATTAAATATTATAAAATTAGATACTTTATCACACAGAAGAACCATTTAGGATGTCAATGTACTGTTCCAGAATGACATAGACCTACTGCCAGGTACAAGCAAGGAGAAAAAAACCCCACTAAACTAAACTAAACTAAACCAAACCAAACCCTGGTATTAGGAAAAGTGGGGGGTTTTATTTGTCAGTCAGTTAAGTACAGTGGGTGGTTCCTTGAAACCTTTTATAGTTAGGGTTCATAGTATTTTTCATTCACATTCTAACACTAAAACAAAAGTAAACAAAACATTGCTGTATTTACCATTTTTTCACAGGCCTTTTTTCCATCCATAAAGCCTTTGGGAATAACATTTGGAGTAAGGAGCTCATATCTGAAACAAAATTCAAAATGTGTATTGTATTTGTCTCTAAAAGGCATAACTTTTGTTTTACTTGAAGATAATTTTATGTTGTGTTCTTTGGAGATTTTATTCAATTATGCACAATGGAACAGAAGCTGCCAATGTACTATGACCAACAGCTCATCCACAAAATGGCGAAATTTTTGAGTCGCTTACTATAAACTTGTAATTTAATCTTTCACGGCTGGCCTATGACAATGTCAATAATATAAAGTGCATGAAAATACCACCCCATCAAAAACTTTGCAATATATTTCTTCTTGAAATTAAAAATTTACACGCAATTTATTTAAAAATTTACATGTGCAGAAATTAATTATGTTTAAATTTTAAATATTGTAATACCTGATTCAAACAAAATATGGCATAACAAAACTTCAAAATCCACACATCTTTATAGTAGAACATTACAGGAAAACAGTTGCTATCTTTGTATTTTACTGTATATGAAGGATAAACGTTAAGCCAAGAATTTAGTAATCCTTATTGTAATACATCATTGTCAGAACCCTTTAAAACTAACTTGTCAGAAGTACTGATTCATATGGAAAGTATACGAGGACTTGGTAACATAAATGGCATGAAAATGTATTAAATTCGCTTCAAGAGCACATAGTAACTTAAACAGAAAATTAAAAGTAACCTGAGAGCATTCAATTTTGACGAAGCAGAGACCTAAAAATATTATTCTTACAATTACTTCATACACAAAGCAAAAACTGTGATTACAAAAATCTTATACCTTTGACGGAATTCCTGGAAAGGTATGCGGTTAGGGAAGCCCTGTCTGCAGATACGAATACCCTCAAGAACACCATTACATCTCAGTTGGTCAAGAACAAGTGGCGCATCAATCTTGCCGGCACGTTTCTCATGGTTGGGTATGATACATCTCACAAAGTTAGGGTTGGTATTTCGAAGGGTCACCATAAGCTTGGCTAGTTGCTCTTTATACAGTTGTGATACAGTTCTGAACATGCCCTTTCGAGTCCTAGCACCGAACTGGGTGTCCGTAAGGGCTTGCTGTGCCATGCCCACAATCTCAGCTGCAAACATAAAACCAACTGTAAAATCAATGATACTCATCTTAACATTACACTGCATTTTATTGATTCTGAAGTCAACTATTTATTGGCACCCAAACCACGCACATATGAACACGTGCAAAACAGACACATATGCACACACAAGGGGGCCTTGTATATATATTCATTAAGCAGAATTTTTCTTCAGAAATTGACAGACATTCGGCTAGTCAAAGAAATATCCTACCTGTTTCAATACTCAGAGATTCCTTAAAGTATCACAGCCTGACACTGGTCCAGATCCTGAGCCAGATGAATACAGTTCATACCCTCACATTCTATTATTTCTGATATTCCTTAACATTATTATTCCAATTATGATTACGTCTCAAAATTATAATTACGAAGAATACTATAATTAATGTACGATGACTTACGTACAATATCTCTTCAAATCATTTTCCAACTTCACTACTAACATACGAAGCCAAAATGACTGGCTTACCATCCTTCCAGATATATACAACAAACGGATCCTGAGAAGCCTGCAGAAGTGAGACAACATTCTCATTTAGAGGGTCCATGTTCTTCATGAGCCACTTGGCCGCTGAATAGTCCACACGACCTGCATAATGAATGACGGCGAAGTCTGCTACGCCACGGAAGTCTGTCTTGAGGAACTTAGGATGAACATGGTGAGCGCCAACCAGCTTCTCCACAAACGACTTGTCAGTAGCTTTAGGAAACCAGCATTCCTCATCTAACAGAGCCATAATGCCCATTGGCTATAAAACAAGATAAAAACATTTACTTCGTGTGAAAATGTCATAAAATTTTAATCTGGAAATCAGGAAGTGACCATCATTTTTATTAAAGACATTTAAAGCACCTCATGTCTGTACTGCAAATATTTATTACACACCTTGCAAATACGATACAAATACAATATTCTATTCTTCCATGGCATACTGTATATAAACATCTCAACTGACTTTAAAGCCGAATGACAACCGTATGACTAACGATCAGTAATTCTTCATTTTTACATATATGAGTTTCATATGAATCTCATTGTAAACAGCAATTATTTCCTTAAAATTCATTAACCATGAGATCTTTGTAATGGCAAAGTAACGTGCTTCCGTTATGGCATGAACTAATTTTTTAAATCAATGCAAATGACTGCCACAGACAAAAGACAGATATGATGATAAGTGACTTGCCTTGTCAATAAGATCGATTGTGGGCTGAAGATCAAGACCGAAATCAATAAACTTCCACTCAATGCCTTCACGCTGGTACTCTTCCTGCTCTAGAATGAACATAGTGTGGTTGAAGAGCTGCTGAAGTTTTTCATTTGTGTAGTTGATGCAAAGCTGCTCAAACGAATTCAACTGTGGATGAAAAAAATGCACATTAAGGACAGTCATTAATTTATGCAGAACTGCTAATGTACAGACAAAAAATTTCAGCAAAAAATAATATGCATAATTTTAAACAGCCTGTGTTCTGCTACAATTTCTCCACAGTCTAAAAAAGCAGATGAACTCAAAGAAAATGGTGGTTGAAGAAAAAGAGAAGGGAAAAAGGAAACACCTAAACATGGCAACTCACCTCAAATATTTCAAAACCAGCCATATCTAGAATACCAATGAAGGATGCTCCTTGCCGTTTTGTACGATCAAGTGATCGATTGATGCGGTTCACCAGCCAACGGAACATACGTTCATAGCAGGCTTTGGAAATAGCCTCCACTGCAAACTCCACCTGTTCTTTAGTCTGGGCCTTGGTAACGAAGTCACGGCCAACTTTGATGCGTGGCCTGAGGAATGCCTTGGTCATCTCTGTGACACTCAAGCCCAAAAGATGGGCAATTTTCTGTGCCATTGTATTGTCAGGCAATATAGCTTGGTCAGAGTTACGCTCTTGCTTGAACTTCATGTTCCCAAAGAGCATCACTGCTGAGACCGTGCGGTAAATAGCTGTAAGAAATAGAAATATAATAAAACCAGAGGCGCACAATAAAATATACCTCATTTTCTGAAAACATGGAAACTGTAAGGCAAAACAGAACAACAAAACTTTATTCTCAGTGCTGGACATTTCAACTATTACAGGTCATCACTTCACAAACTCCTTCCACTTTATATTATTACTCATGTTTATTCTAGACATGTTATGAATCTTCCTTTTCCATCTGAAATTATCTAAACCTTCTCTACTTTGGGTCCTAATTACCTAAAACTAATTAGAAGTAGCTTCTATACATAATTACCAAGGCTATCTATCAATTGCCTGAGACTGTATTATCTGATATGTGAATTGAACACAGCGTTCTCACATACACAGCAAGTATCGTCTGGAAAAAAAGAAATTATGCCAACAACATCTCAGTAGATGCCTGAATATTTCTATTATAGGTACTGTAAACTCTTACCTTCCTTGCATCTTACCACACCATAAGTATTCTTCCAAATAATTACAAAAATCCATATTTAATGAATTCAACACCCTGATAATTTTCGTAATTATACTGCACTACATACCCGTTTTTATAGCAAACCTTATGAATACTCTAAATGATTCACTGCTTTCCTCAAATCAGTTTCATTGTATTGCCATAAAAATGTCATATGCATGTCTGAATCTTGATGTTTCTTGACCTTCCACAATACTTGCTACAATATTCCAATAGCCTGTCTCAGTTTTTTTCTCATATAGTGACGTACTGTCATAAGTACAAATGTTTATAGTTTTTGCATATGTAGGTACCTATCAACTAATCATGAAATATCCTGTACCATAACATGTTATATGTCTGAACACAACAAAGATCTTATAATTAAAAAATATATAATGACACTCATATTATATTCACCAGAAAAGTCATCACTTGTCATTCCCATGATAGACATGGCTTTGCAGGTGGCCTGGAACTCTGCAATATCATCCACACCAGGTACAGGAAGGTGTCCCCCACTGGACAGGAATGCATACGTTTTTGGATCTTCCAGGATGAATTCCTCTGAAAGCACATAAAAACAATATGATACAGAACCAAATTCAAAGGAGTTTTGCTTCTCTGTAAATTTTTAACAAACAGTGAAAAGATTATCACTTTCGCTCACAGTAAACCCACAACACATATTTCTCTAAGCCATATGCAAGTTTTTCCAGATAAATGAAGATCACAGACAGCTATCTCTTCCCACAAACTTAGAACTTTAGTCATTAAACTAGTAATACATCGTAGCAGATAAATATTAATTAAAATATTAAAATTTCCAAACTAAAGATGACAAATATAATGAAAGTTCACATCCTCTCTCATCCACAATAAAGAAGAAATTGTCTGGCTTACTTTTCTGCTCGGGAGAGGATCCAACCAGAAGCTGGTAGAAAATATGGAACGTTCGTTCATCCTTGGCTTGACGTATGGCACGAGATTTTTCCAGTAAGTACGTCTCAATGTTTGCTCCTGCTATGTAACCAGAAGCATCAAAGTTGATGCGGATAAATTTCCCCTGAGGAAGAAAAAAAAAGTCCCTATTAACACAATACATGTGGTATATTGAAATATAAACACAAAACCTAAGTATTTGAGAAACAAAACTATTCTACTAGTTCATTCTATGTTTACAGGGCTTGAACCTTGCCTTAATTCCAGTAAAACAGAGAAATTACATCTCACTATTATAAATCCAATGCACTAAATTATGTAAAATACCTCATAAATATTCATACTCAATTAGAAAATGGAATATTTAATATATATTTAATCTTGGAGTTAAACAACTTATGAATAACTGTGTATTACTACGGAAAATTGAGTTTCTTTAGTTCCAATGATGTATATACTTACAAAACGTGAAGAGTTATCATTCTTAACAGTCTTGGCATTACCAAATGCTTCCAGAATAGGGTTGGCCTGTAGAAGCTGCTGCTCCAATTCACCCTGCAGGATAAGAATGAATTAGTACGTACCTCAAACACAATTCCTGATAAACTTTCGGGAAAAGCCAAAAATATTAAACATTATCAGCATAAACCTTGATTAATTTAGTTTGTATAAAATTATCGCACTATCTTCTAATTTGTTGTATGGAAAATCACTTGAAAAGTCGATAATCCATTTAATGGCTACTTCAGCCGAAAGGCCAACTCTTTAATTCTGCAACGCTATAGCATTTTGGCATTTTATGGAGGCAGAATTAAGCTTCTCCTTGGAGAACACACTCACTCTACACGAGGAAGGCAGCCATTCTGACAAGATTAAATAAATGCCTCTATGCTACATGAAAGCACTTCTCGAAGCCTATTAAAATGATGATTCATATAAACCGCTGTAACTTTTCCACCTGCTCAGCTCCTGTTACAGGTGCTTGAAGAAGCAATATTCAAAACTGCAAAGCTCTACTACTGGGAAACACTTTCCAAGTGCTGACTTACAAAAACATTCCAAATTTACACAGCACAACATCAAATACCTACCGCAAAATTTTGGTTCGACTATTTGAGAGCATGGAAAAGAAAGGAAAATATATTACTTTGTTGTTGCCTTGGCGTCCTTTTGCTCATGCAACTTTGTGCATCATTTATATGAAGATAAATTAAACACAGAAGTTTCTTAAATGTATGTTTCACACAATCTCATGTAACGACAAAATTATCGAGATAATCTTACGGATTGCACACAGCAATTTTCTGACAATAAAACTCTCGAGTTAATCTACCTGATGTCAAAGTAGAAACAGCAATTTTACAATCTCATTTATCGGACAGAAAGGGTGCTGGGGCAGTACTAAGTCATTTTGTGTAATTCTCAAGTATAATTTGCCATATCGAAGAATAATGTTACCAAGAACATGACACCACTAGATGACCTAAGTTCCCTGAGATACTTTATATGTAGCCTTCGGTTACAGTTTTTCACATACTCTGGACAGCAAAAGATTAAAAAAGACGATATAACAAGACATCTTCTCCAACAAGTACATTTGAAACAACCATAAAGAAACTTCCAGCAAAACATAAACCACAAAACACTACAAATATCATTGGTGCATTAAATGTTGAAAAAGTCATTATGGCAACTTTTGCAATTACATGTAAGAACAGGCATCATGCATAAACTCAAAAAATTGGAAGCTGTCCACACCTTAAATACAAAATAAAACATAAAAGACATCTTTAGATAAGGGTTTATTGTCACATTTAACCTGCTACTACAATTAATAGTTTGAAGATTTCTGTCTTCTGGGTTGTTGCGCTGTGTAGTCTGGTCGATGTTAACGTTTCAGAGGTCATACTGCCTCCGTCATCAGGGCGATTCATCTCACCTCTGAAACGTTAGTTAACTTCTACGAGACTACACGGCGCAACAACCCAGAAGACTGTCACCTTCATAATAGTCGCTCCGAGAACCAGAAATCTAATTTTTGTAATGGCGAAGTATTGCACGGCGCAACAACCCAGAAGACTGTCACCTTCATAATAGTCGCTCCGAGAACCAGAAATCTAATTTTTGTAATGGCGAAGTATTGCGCAGATTTCTGTCTTCTGGGTTGTTGCGCTGTGTAGTCTCGTAGAAGTTAACTAACGTTTTAGAGGTGAGATGAATCACCCTGATGACAGAGGCAGTATGACCTCTGAAACGTTAACATCGACCAGACTACACAGCGCAACAACCCAGAAGACAGAAATCTTCATACTCACCACTGTGAAAAGTTAAAATCTTACAATCAATACTTTGTTGTTGAAATGGATCTATTTCCACCATCTGTGCAAGCTCTAATGTCTCATACGCAATGAGCATTAAAAAAAAAATAACAGCTAAACATTAAGACAAGGCTACTTGGGATTAAAAGTAAACAGATAAATCTACATTTTATGACTGAACTTGTGCCAGATTCATGCCCTCATGAGTAATGTATCTAAATTGAACAAAGGGGCTCGAGCGATGGCAACAAGGCCAAATACACGAACATGTATTTGAATCCAACGAAATGAGGAAGAACAAAGGAACATCACACACTTCGGTGTGTGATGAACTCATTCATTCAACCATTGGCCAATAATCAACAAAGCATCGAACAGTTTATTAGACACATTTCAATTTTTACCAAGGAGCATAGATCCAAAACCAGAAACATGCAAGATATTTTTCTTTTAATTTGACAAGATCTTTCTGAAACTAAAAAATGATTGCAAGTGTAGACATCTGCTTCTTTCGTGTCTAAAATGAAAACAAATACCATACTGCACAAAATATTAAATCTAATATGATCGAAAATATCAAAATATCATTCCCCTCTCCTGAAATTCATCTGAATTTCAAAAACCTTTCGGCATTCATTTGTACAGGCAGCGCATGCCTCGCATATCCAAACACCTAATATCACTTCTACTACTACAGCCTTACACAAGAGTAAGTTCCAGACAGAGCGGTACTTACAATGATGAGTGCCGGGCTGGGTGCCTGTAGAGGACATGCAGTGGTCGACCCAACGTATGCAACAGAAAGAAGTAAACAAGAGGCATTATGATATACATGCAGCATTCAACACTACTGGTAAGATACTGTAGCAGCACTTATCTGCTATTCGTCCATTCCATGGACTCAATCAACTCCATGCTGTTTTCTGCAGTCTCTTCCATCAGGGGCCATCTATCTGCTTAATTACAGCAAATTCAAACTTTGAGCCATCTACACCATTTTCCCACGTGGTACTACATACAACGAATTTAGAAACTGTACTTAATTTGCAAATTACAAGTCCCATAACCATAAAACCTGACAACTTATTTCCTGGGGACTTTTTAAGATGGCAATACATTGAGAAATAATGAAAATATAACTGGAATGTGCATAAATTTTTCATACAACAGTGTGTAATGTATAATGTACTTGAAGATTTCTGTCTTCTGGGTTGTTGCGCTGCGTAGTCTGGTCGATGTTAACCAACGTTTCAGAGGTCATACTGCCTCCGTCATCAGGGCGATGAAGATTTCTGTCTTCTGGGTTGTTGCGCTGTGTAGTCTGGTCGATGTTAACCAACGTTTCAGAGGTCATACTGCCTCCGTCATCAGAGTATGAAGATTTCTGTCTTCTGGGTTGTTGCGCCGCGTAGTCTGGTCGATGTTAACCAACGTTGGTTAACATCGACCAGACTACACAGCGCAACAACCCAGAAGACAGAAATCTTCATACTCACCGCCGTGAAAACCTCAAATCTTACATACAATGTACTTGCAAACAGTAATCAACTCGAACACCCTTTTGTGATAACACATACATTATTAATGATGTAAATGTTCCCACTCTACATTTGTAACAGCATTTTGTATTCTTAAAAAAAATTACAATAATTTCAATAAAAATATTAGGCAAATTATGCTCGAGCTGTTCATAGAAACGCCAAGAAGTTCTTTGTGTAAAGCATCTTTTATTACCGTCTGCAAATTCTAGAAGAACTTTCCAAAATATAATTTTGTGAATATCTGTTCAGTGGTTTTTAGATTGATGCACACAAGAAATTCACAAAATGGTGTGGTCATTGGTCGGGGGGTGGAGATAAAAATAACGATAAAAATGGTACACAATGTGTGGAGAAGTCACAGAAAGAACAAAATTAAGATATATTTATTATTAAAATGAGAAGTTTCAGGCCAGAAAATGTGCATGTTATGTGGTGGGTAAAGCTTTTACTAATTAACAGACACGTACTCATGCTTTTGATCCAGCATTCCAGTTACTTATTTCGTTGATTCCCTGTCTCAAAGTAATACGTAACAGCACAAAATTTATCACAGAAGAAGAGTACAGTAAATAATGTTTCAGAAAACTGATTGTAGAATGACAGTGAGTCCACAGCGAAGATAAGTTCAACATTACAAACGCTACAACCACCATTCAAAGTAGAAGTGCTCTGCTTACGTAACTACAAAGCATCCATGGTCATATCACATTAATCTTAAAATCTTCCATCATGGCAAGCCTTTTAAGTTCATATCAACGCATGCTTTCAAGACATCTAATATAACTTTTAAATACAATATCATATACGTACATCTGCATAAATTATGCTGTTTCAGGAATTAAAAGTGGATAAAACAAGCACTTTTACATCTTTCCCATCAAAAACAAAGTATCGAGGTTTCACTTCTACGTTCTGCGTCAATGTGGTAAGATTTATCACATATTACAACACGACATAAAACAGATTTCTTTAATACTAATTTTCAATTCCAAGAATTAGCGGCTCATTACTGATTAACAGTGACCCATATACTTGATAACCTCCTATTTTATTACAAAGCAGTCTCATTAAGCTGCCAATCAGAAATCATTCACCAAAAGCTGAAAACACCTCTCTGCAGCAATAAGGATGTTTACCGACGTTCTCACACATGCACTAGCGTGCTATAAATGTTCAGAAGTAAACATTTTACAAAAAAACGCCTATATAAGATTTATCGTGTCTCTTAAAGCCATGTTTACTATAAACGCAGTTAACAAAGAAACGTATTATTTACGACGTAAGTACAACATTCTTGGAGATGGTGTAAGGCAGATTATACGTAAGTTATTAGAACTCTGAGACAACTAACAAATCCCATTAAAGTCCAATTCATAATTACTTAAGTACTTCTGCAGGTATTAACCTTTACATAACATTAAACAAAAGGAAATAACTGACGAAAGGGAAGTATTTTGTAGCTGAAATCTGGTGGTCGCAGGGTAAATACGTAATCACATCAGTTCACATTTTGCCATTATGTTTCAAATGCGATTGATTCTTGTTGAAGTTGAAATTACGCTATAACTAAGGCAGTTTGCTTCAAAAGATTTTAAAGTAAATGTACTTTCATACGGCGATGGCTAAGCATTGCGTAATAACACTGGTTCCGTTTCTCGGAACTACAACGATAAAAATCAGAGGAAATCTGCCAGTTCCTGACCTCGATACTTGCAGTGACTTAAGAGCTTCAAAGGCCGGAGAAACACGAGAAGCATCCATTTCTAACTACTCGTATATTAAACGCATGTGAGTGACAAGCAAACATCTTGCAGAGAAAACTAGATCAAACCAGCGAATAAATAACTACATTCCGCAGCATCCAGCTTCGCCAAATTTGGCCGGAAGTCTCGGAAGTGAAGTGGGGCACGCTAACAATCTCTCGCTTGTTCGTGTACACATACACAGGGGTGGCGGCGTGGGGGGATACCAATCACAGAACATGTGAAAACATCACACATAACGTATAAAATTTCACATGCCATAATCCAACGGTTCGTCATTTACTGCCATCAAACTTGATTAAAAGAGAAGATTTCTTCAGTAGCATTTGAGGTTTTCAAGGCGGTGAGTCTGAAGATGGCTGTCTTATAGTTTGTTGCGTAATGTAGTCTGGTAGAAGTTTACCTACTTTTCAGAGGTATTTTCTGCCTCCATCATCGGGGGTACTCATCGCCCTGATGATGGAGGTAACCATGTCGGCGAATTACAACCGGACTACACGGCCCAACAACCCAGAAGACAGCCATCTTCAAGTTTGTTAAGTCTTTTAGACAGATCTATTTCAACAATCTGATCTACAGTAAATGTTTTCCGGTGTCTATACTCATAAATTTTATTGCGTACAAACTGTTCACACTTGCTTGTAGTGAGTTACATGAAGGTGAACTTTAATGCAGTCTAATTATTCCACGTACTCAATATTAACGAGAATTACGATTATTACAATTTGTACTCTGAGGAATATTTGTTGTCCGATACGTAGCGAAATGAAATTCACCTACTATCCTCACTACACGCCTTGAAAGCGCTTCGGGGAGGAGAGATGGGATGGTTAGATGTTAGATCGCAGATGGTGCTTGACAGGCTGACAAAGAAAGATTTCCAGGGATGCTTCCAGGCTTGGCAGCGGCGCTGGGATCGTTGTGTTCACTCCCAGGGGAACTACTTCGAGGGTGATGGATGAATTTAATACCTGAGATAAGTGTACGGGTTTTTATACGCGGTCTTGAAACTTTCCGATCGCACCTCGTACATGATCAATTGTGCTCAAATATCGCACAAAACTTGTCTAAATGTCGGTACGATCTTTTGAATAAATAATTTCTGAACCAAATGTACGTAAATTTAGGGGGGGGGGGAAGTACGACAGATAAAATAATTTTATGGCATGACTACGATATGCTTCCTGGTACTGAACTTCAGCATCAATAAACAAGAAATGCAAGATCATGAAGTGACGTAACATATCTCAGGACAGTCGTTTACCTGTGGTTTCTCCGGACAACTACGTCTCATATTAGTCTCATGCCGCGAGAAGACGCAGAATGAACTTTCATCATCCAGATTTTAGCTTATCACTAAATGGTGCATGCAACTACCTTTCGTGATTCCTTGGTTGCCATTAATTTCTTTAACACACTACCGCAAAATGTTAGCACACCGCTAAAAACGTCTGAAAATAAATATATTAACATACACCACGCACCACTATATTTTACATTTCCATCCGAGTCTTAACTAGAATAAAATATTTAATACTAAAAAAAAGTGTGCGTAAGAACGCAGCTCTGAACTACGAAGACGATACTTAAAATACAAATTTAATCGACGCAAAAGACTTACCGTATGTGGCGAGAGTGAACTTTTGGGTTTTGAAGCCGCTACATAAGCAAGGTATTGAATAACTTTCTTAGTGTTCTCTGTCTTTCCAGCACCTGACTCTCCAGTACAAAGGATAGACTGGTCTTCGCGATCTGCCAAAAAAGAGAGTACATTTAAAGTAATAAATGCTGCACTTGACGTGAAACAAGGGCTCAAGAAATTTTACCTTAAAATTCATAGCAATCTCTTCCTCACCTCAACAAACTAATAAACTGCATGGGAGAGTCATTTTTAACCTCCGCACTGAGCCATGTTTTAACCCCCAGGGAAGGACCCCAGTAGCCACTAGAGGCTAGGTGGGCCCCAGAGCTAAAGAAAAAATCCTCTGCCATCAGGGATAAAACTCCAGTCGTCAGCCCATAGCCAGTCACTAGACTGAGCTACATGTGTAATTAATAATTATACTTTTCTTTCATTTGCAAAAAAAACATCTTATAGTCAGGTATATATGGTAGCACAGACTGTACTAAATACTTAACCAAACAATGGCATCAATACGAAATAGAGGAGTTAAAAAAAAAGTTTGTAGAGCCAGAAGTGAGGTGGCTGGGAACGTTTCAAGCAAGGAGTGGCTTGCTTCTCCAAGGTCTGGTACATCATACAGCACCAGTACATAGCAGCTCCAAGATCATAGCAACCACACATAGTACAGTCCACAGATCAGGAGAAAATCCCTGCTAGGAATTCGATATACGCGCATGCGCAAGATTTCGCGGTGAGTGACGACCCGTCCTAAAAGCATTCGTTGCACAGCCACTGAACGAACAACAGACAACAGGCTTTCGTGTGTTCTAATGGGTACAGCTTTAACATTACCTCACAGAGGCACAGCGATTTAATCTAGAATATTATCACAACACCCTCAGAACACATTAAAAGTGCGCTCACTACACGCTACGCTCAACTGCTTGATGTTTTCAGTCTGTGTAGTAGCGTAAAACTCTGACGTATCACACTTCCCACCAATAGCAGCCCTCTAGTCCAGCTGATAAGTAACATTCCCGGGGCACCGCACCAAAAACGACTTCCCCTTGCACGGATTTTCTCCTGGTCTGTGGACTATGATCCAGTACACTCCACTGCAGAAATCCTGATCTTATCCTGTCCACCTCAGACAGTTTGCTGGCTAATATATTACGTAATGACAATGTATAAAACAGATGCAAATTAAATAAAAAGGAAATTAAAATTAAGGATGGAGAAATGACAATTCCTGTTTGAATTTAACCAGAACTGGAACGAGCCACCAACCTTTAGTACGACTCACTGATGACAAAGTCAACTCACCTTGTAACATGGAGCGGTAGGCAGTGTCGGTGATGGCAAATACGTGCGGGGGTACTTCATGTCGTTTGATTCCCTTGTATCGTTCCATGATCTTTTCCGTGTAGATGGGTAGCCGTTTGTATGGGTTAACCACCACACAAAAGAGGCCAGAGTATGTCTAGATAAAAAAAGAAACACACTGTAAGACAAGCTCAGAAATTGACAACGAACAAACAAAACATTTATCAGACAAACGCACCAGAACAACCAATTTCCTTAACCACAGAAGTGAACATCACCAAAAAGTTACACAACAGAAATTGTAATTAAGTTTTAAGTTTATAATTTTAACTTTTACACCTGAAGATGGTTCGTATAGGAACCGAAACATGTTGTAAAAAGATGTTCCAAATGTAAATCGATTGTTCGATGAGGAACATCAAATGATATTTTAATTATCTTATTTGTAAATTTTAAATATAATTGTGATTAGACGGACAAAACCGAATAATTAATTAAATATTTGTTTCACAATATGACGCAATTATATCATCTTAACCACAGAAGTTTTGTGATACCTTGAGGCATTAATTTTACGTCTGAAATAATTTTACACCAAACAAATTACATTAAGTCAATGGGTTACATCAAATGATCTAGGCAGGAAGACTGAATAATGTAAACAAGACGCAAAGAGTCACACGGAGTCCCAATAAAAGGATAACATTAATTTGGATCTTAGGTAATAAATTGAATTGGACTAGTAAATTATGGTGTAAACAGTGTTGAATCTTTATTCATACTGCCAGAGTACAATTTAAACAGTACTGTCATCTTACATTTCCAACAAAATACAAAAAAATGTATATTTTATAAAGTTCTATCATAATACGATATTTTAAGCAAAGTAAATGGTCGTAGTACACAGCGGTACCAAAGGCATTACATTTTGTAACAGCATGGCAAAGCACTCTCTTACAAAACCACTACATTCTTCTGACATACAACAAACTAATTCCAGTTCCTTAATTCCATTACCAACTCCTTTTTAGGTAAGAACCACTACACGCTTCATTGCTGACCTAAATACAAAAAACATAAAGAAACACAACTATCCGTAGATAAATCTTTGAAATATGTTCCTGGTACAGACTACTATGGTTTAAAAACATTTTTAAAACACCGTACAAATTACGAATGAGAGAGAAATGTAGTTAATGTGATTGAATGGTCCAACTTTCTTAAATGTGAGTCTTCTAGGGCGATGACTCATCGATCAGATTATGGAGGCAGCAAGGACATCCCAAACATTGGTAAAGTTCTACCACACATGGCACAACAACACAGAAGACTGGGCTTGAGCGATCATCATATGAAACACCTACTAAACTGTCTCGAGGACATCCGAAACATTGGTAAAGTTCTACCATACTACAACTCAGAAGACGGCTTGAGCGATCATCATATGAAGCACTTACTAAACTGTCTGAACGCTGTCTTCAATCAGTTCGATGTTACACGTCGCTTCTTAATGATTTAGCATAATAAAATGAACGTGTATTTCAAATTATAGCTTCATACAATTCTCATTTTCATACTGTAGAAAATAAAGAAAATTGAAATATGCAAATGGGAAAACCATTTCTTTGTTAAAAGAAATCTACTGTTTTAACTATTATCAGCAGAGGCCTATGACTTCACTAGCCACAACTTCCTACCAGAGGACATCCTCTTTCACAAACAAAGGTCTTATCACAAAAGATTTATATAATTAAGCACGTTAATGCAGGATCTCTAAAAATCCACTTATGTTTGAAATGTTAACGCTAAAAATTTACAGCGGCATGCTGACGATACCTGTCACAACGCATTGTACAGTCAGCAAAGCACTGTTAATCGACGGTTCACGTGTCTGCACCAAGTGAATCATCATCCCGCTATACAGTTAACGTTTTCTCCCCTTTTCAGTGTCCCAGAATGTGACTCATAAGAAAGACCTGCTCAACTAGAGGAGGTTACACATATATTTTAAAATAAAACCCAACACCTGTGGTCCTCGAGTTGAACGCTCACAGAAAGGAAACACGTGAGAGTAGAAAAAGAAGCGAGTTCATTCACCAGGTGCAATTTCTGATGTCCAACCATTAGCTTCTACATTACTACACGTCGCTACAACCCAAAATACAGCCAGCTTTAGTTTTTCGGTTTGTTCATATAAATTTAATTAAAATATATCTCCACAGCGTGGACAAAGGAAATGACGATTATGAAAGATAAATTAGGGTGGGTGCAGGGATTATCAACTACTATAACAGAATTTCCAAGGAGTAACTAAGAAAACCACGATGAAATTGAACAGCAGGTCTCTGGGCCGATATCTGAACTCGGGACTTCCGAATATCGTGTGCCACCAATGCCTAGTGGCGTTAGTTCCAATTTGGCTACTCGGGGTTAAAAAAAAATCACTCGATTACTGAATTATCGATTATTATCGATTTAAATACACGTTTTCGTGGAAGGGATAATTCCGCTTTGAATTTTCTATACTAAATAGTCGTTCTCCACTAATTGAATAAATGATGATGTTTCAAGCCTAAACAGAAGCATCTTATTGTCTTGAGTTTCCAACGCGTGTGAATCATGTTTGTGTATAACATGACACTACATATGGTGGCCCATAAATAACGTTAATTGTATTAACGAGAATACAACATGGCCGACCTTCCACAGGAACGATTCGCCAGCTGTTTTAAACAGAATAGGCACAGGGCATACTAATATTACGTACACGATGTAGTCTCGCAGAAACACGCCCACGGCTTAAAATCCCAGAAGCCGGTCATCTTCATGTTTGCCGTCGCGAAAACCTGTAATCTCACCTTTTACTTGTAACATTAACGGTATAAATAGTGGCGTGTTTCACCATCTCCATCCTGATACAAAAACCTACAATTAAATAGTCTCGCGCATCACATTCCTCAACGATGACAATTCCACTTTTGTTAATATCGATGAGATTTTCTTTGTAATTAAAAGACCAGTTCTCGGCGCTTATGTTTCACAGAAAAAGTCAGTTTTGTGCAACCAGCTGGTTGTCTGGTATTTTAGCTCGGCTCGACTCGGAAATAAGCCGCCATCTTCAATGGCGGTCTGTTCACAGATCCAGCCGGATGCAGAGAACTTGACTTATAACTCATCTCTTTGCAGAATGTAATGATTCTATGCAATCGAAAATCGCTTCCATATCGATAACACGATGCGCCGACCATACAATTGTCGTTAAGCGTAGATATCGATATGGGTCGAAATTTTTATCTTCCGCGTGCTACCTAGAAACCTAATGATTACAACATTCAGAGCTAGAATTTTACCTACCGTTTTGTATGTGTCTGAAACTTGTTCTCTCACCGCGAGGGAAGAACACAGGAAGTTATTTTTTCCATGCCTCTTGTCCAGCGTATGGAAAAGGGTAGCGAAGGGTTGATCCCTCTGTTTATGGAGCTCTATCATTCATACAAGGATTCATACTTTAAGAATTATGAACCGGAATAGGTTAGGGGAATTGTGACGAACAATTTTACATACTCTCACAGCCAATAAAACACTCTCTTAATAACGGTTTAATCTCTTAGCTACTACGCCATAATCAATAACGTCACCACTGTAGAAGAACAAGGTAATTAGGAATTGCATGTGATAAAACTCTTTCTCATATATCGATTCTGGGTACAGATGAGCTTACAGCTTCTAAGATCCAGCAGCCTATTAAGATATTAAATGCGTAAAATGTCCACCACCAAGACACCCACAAAACAATTTGCAGTGCACAAAACCGTGCTGTAAATTCTGTCTGTAATTTCAATAAAATTTATATTTCAACATATACCATGGTGGACATTTGTGAATAAGTACTGTTTAAAGTGATTAAATTTGGGTACGTTTAAAAGTAGAGCCAGGAGCAGTTTCTTGGCCCTTGGGTCAAAAGGGAAAACTATCCTTGGTCCTAAGGAAGAACAACGTTTGACCATCCTGACGTAAAAGATCGAATGGCGAAGTTAAGGAATTAAGTTTAGATACACAAAACATCCTCGCGTACTGGTAGTTAAGTTCTGAGAAGTTGCAGTCCTTGGCCTTGCTACTACAGCAGCCCTCCCGTAAAAATAAGTTCATTCTGACACTCTATGCCCACGCGCATACTGCCTCGGGCATCGCATATCGTGGTATTGCAGCACACTTCTTTTCCAACACGATCCCGTCGAGCACAACCCATCCGTTAATGGCCTCTCTCAACAAGTTGACCTAAGCCACGTTAAAAGGATGTACGTCCAGTTATACACAGAATGTCCCATAAGTTCCAGACAATTGGAAAACTCCGTTATTTGGCAAAATACGAAAAATACAGGAAAAAATTGTCATGTTTCCGATAACAAGTTTGGTACTTTTTTTATTAATAGGACGAACCGTTGCAGAGAAACTTTCTTCGCAATATAAACTGTGTAAAAGTTGCCACGTTTACATGACAGCGAAAGGAGGAAATGTTTCTAGTTTACTTCACATTGTCAAGTCTGCGCGAAGAATCGACTCCACCTTCAACCAGAAAAACTCATCTGCGCAGTCGCACAGCTGTTCTAATATGCGGGAACATGTGTGGTTAGGGGGCAATGTTTTTAGGGCAGCGCCCAAAATACGTTACAGTTTCAAGGTCGAGTCAATTCTCCACTCAGAGATCCAACACCCAAGTATACTCAATTATCATTTCCACCTTGTGGAAACATCCCTCTTTCGCTGTCAGAAGCAGATGTCAGTCGTTACACTCTGTACCCACACAAATACATTTGAAATGTATTAGTTTTTACTTTTAAATAAAGTGTTTTCTTTTTTTATTCTACAACCCGGTTAAAATTAAGCGAGATACTGGACGTGTAAACAAACAGCTGAATACTACAGATCGACTGTTGGAAGAGACACGATATCAATTGGAGAAAATGCCAAATTCAAACAGTTTAAATTGTACCCAGCTTTGCTTAAAATGTATTGTACATTCCAATTACATACAACCTAGACTACTGTAGCGAGTGTGTTTGTTGCTAAATACTATTTTAGTATTTTAGAGGGGCATCAGAAGGAACTATTGGCATCGAACCTTCTTCGCAGAAAACCCAGGATCCCGTGGAATAC